TCTCTGTGGAGGGTAGGGCTGCAGTCCAAGAAAGCTGAAGGCAGGTGGGTCATCCATGATGGCAGGTAATGCTTGTATCTATGAAGGATTTAGTAATGGCTATAAAACAGCTTTTTGACTGGGGAACAGATAAGCCCTGCTACATAAAAGGTTCATGATTGCTGACTGAATTGGTACTAATTCAGTGGCTCCTTTTCTGAAATTTCAACTGGCAATTTATTGGCAGACATGGACTACCTGTTTATGTGTGTGTTTGTGTGTGTTTTCCTGATCTCTGCTGGTGGATCTTGGGAAACCAAAATGGCTATTTTTTATTTATAAACATCACTAAGCCCATCAGCAGCCTAGCATGCTTTTTCTTCCATTTTCAGGCCAACAATCAGGTGGAAATTGTACTAAGGGCATTCAGTGATTTGCCCTTGAGGTTTAGAGTGTGTTTGGGGGAGGCCTACCATTTGCATGGATGTGGCTCCCCCTCCCCCAATTTCAGTGATGGGAGAGCTGGTAATTGAAATCCCAGGAATGTAGAAGCAGCTTTTTTTTTTTTGCTCACTAAAGTGGATCATTGGTCCATTTTGTAGCCCAGCCCAATTTATATATTGTATTGTCATAATGTACTTTATTTATTTTTAGCTTTGTAAAATATAAGCCAGGGTATTGTCTTGTGAATCACAGTTTATGTTTTTGGATGTTTTGGGAGGTGGGGGTGTAGAGGCTCAGACTGAGATATGGCTAGGATGGTTCTATTTTATGTGGACAAATGAGACCCAGGAGATGACGAATGAGCATTTGATTGTAGCCAAGCAGTTTCATGTCTAGGTCTTACTTGAATGGTGATGGCTTGTTCAGAAACTTTCTTTGCTGTGGAAAAATGGGAGACAAACAGCAATATACCACTACCATCAAGGAATTAGAAGTAGAAGTAGTAGTAGTACTTTTCCTCTGAGGAATTGGATATCTCAGAAACATGAACAAGTTAGCTTTTTAAATGGGCTGGGCTTGGGAGCCCATGCTGATTCTCCAAGGGTTACAGATTGGTTCCAGCCTGCCTGGACCAAAAGGCTGGGTCTCCAGAGAGCAGCAGCAGTAAGTTGGGCTGAGACCGACTTGATAAACTGTAAGTGATAAATTGTGGCAGTCTAGGCGGGAGAGACATGTTTAGTCCAAGGCATTAATAACAGAAAGAATTTAGTATTTAGTATTAGAGACCTGCTATAGTAGTTGAAAAGAAGCTTCTGGGAAACAGCAAGCTCTTTGGCAGAAAGGTATATGGAAGAATGAATGAGTATGCAAAAATTCCATAATTGGATACTCGGACTATTTCTTCCAACGTTTACTTTTTATTCAAAGGTGCTGTCGATTCTGTTTTCAAGCATCTGCATGGAGAAATAACCATCTAAATGTAAAAGGCAGCTCGTTGATATCAGCTGAGTATTTCATCCCCTCTGTGTAGAATACATTCAGGGAAATTAAAAGATGCCTCCCCCCCCACCATCACCCTTTGAGTGTTGAAAAGAACTACTCAATCTCATTTTAAGTAAATGTGGGTGTGTGTATGTATGCATATGTCAGATAACCTATGTGGAAGGAAGCCAGGTCAACAGATGGCCGGCTGCTGAATTTCACAGAGGAAACACTGACACCCTGTGGCCATAGTTCAATAACAACACAGGCACAGAAAAAAGATTTAAGAGGAATCCAAGCAAAGTGAGTCTATAGTAAATTGTATTTCCGCTTGCAGACAGATCTAAGGAGGCAATCTATGAAGCAAAGAGGGGGATCTGAATCCCCAAGACTTGTGCTTCAGGATTCAGTCTCAGGGACTTCTAAATGGTCCCTTCCCCCTTTTTTTTAACATGGGGAAAACTTTTGAAACACATGATTGAGCTGAAATAATATTCTGTTTTTAATTTTTTAATTCAGTGTAAATGAAATCAAACATAGCTTTTATCTTGGCACCTAATTAATTAATCCACATATGAGCATAGTCCCCAGTGTTGCCTCTGCCCTAAAAAAACAAAACACTCAACATCCTTGCTAGGATGACTTCTAATAAGCAGAATTTTCCAACATTAAAATATGTAGAGGCAGAGTAGGAAACCTGATGTCCCCTTTGGATGGTTTGGATGATTCCTTCCATGTTACCCACTATTCATATCTGCTGGCTCACAGAAAATTGTGATCTAACTATCTGGAAGTTTGACAGAGTTATCTAACCTGGGCCAGAATTCTTAACTGTCATTGAGAATTGGGCAGCAAACATGTTTATGTTGCCCAAAGTTTCCTTGGACAGCAAGACGATGGCATATTAATTAATTAATTAATTAATTAATTAATTGTGTTAGAACCATTACAAATTACTCTTTGTAGTGTTTCTAACTTTTGTGTTTTCCTAAATTGCACAAAGTTTATCAAGCAATGCCAGCTTCCTTTGGTTTGTCAGTTGATTGTCTATATTGGCCCTTGATAATACCTAGCTCAATCATGATGCACGTAGTGTTTCATTAAGATTATAGAGACTTTGGAAAGCTTCTGATGTCCCAAAATGTCATATATTAAAGAATTTACTAAGATTGGTGGATTGGAATGCACTGTTCTGAAATACATTCAAGCATACATTACTTTGATTTGAGACCAGCACCCTCATCTGAAGCAAGCAACTTTGGGTTGCCCAGTTTTGCTGATATGACTGTTTTCATTTTGAAAAGATAACATCAATCTTCAGTTAATAACATTACCTATATTTACTGTGGGCAGATAGGCTACTGTTTTCAATAAGTATAATGGATTTTTTTTACATGAAAATCAAGAAAATGTATACTCGATCTTTATAATTGTGTGGTGTCAACATGGAACCCAGTGCTTTTGTTCTACAAACAAGAAAAAAAGGAATAAACTATTACACTGAACACATTACATTGGGATTTATTGTTATTTAGACTCAGAAACTTGAACAAAAATTCTTTTCACTATATTGCTCATATTTCTTCTGACAATGAACTAATACAGCTAACAATAGCACTGTGTATTGTTGATGAGAGGCTGACCACTGTTTCAACGTGTATAGTATCGTATAAACTGGATAATTGGCCATTCAGCCTAGGCCTCTAAAGATGTGTATTGCTTCTTTTCTTATTGTTGTGCTGTATTGTTGGTTTGAACTCTGGAAGCAGGTCTATTTTTTTTTAAAAAAACCAACTTTTTAGATTGACCACTTTCTTAACAGATATCACTTTCATGGTTAACTCATGGTAACTTTTAATTTTTAACTATATGCATTTCAAGTATTATGCAGAAGGGCTGATAGTTGACACTACTGATTTTTTCCCCACATTAATTCCCATTTATATATCTCAACTAAGTAAATCACTTGTGGCATGCCTTCCTGCTCTTAAATTACATTTCTAGCTCCCACTAAATAGAGCAAAGCAATGTGTAAAGATGTCAGTCTGTCCCTGTTGCTTGTATTTTATTTAACTGACTCAAAATTGGCCTATTTTTTAAAAAATCTCTCTAGCATGGGGATTTTATACAGTAATTGCGCCCTTGTTACATAGCAATAGTTGATAACCTCTCTGTATCTCTTTGCTGCCATTTGTTGGTAATCTAGTTTTTTGCAGTTAGATCTGGCAGCCTTTTCTGTGATTTTTAAACCATTCAGTCTTAGATATTCTTTTTCTAAGTAAAGATGGTAAAATATTCCTTAAGTTTTCCATGTGTTTATTTTATTTTGTTAGATTTGTGAGCTGACTGTTGTCCAAAGAATAATCTTCTTTGTCTGCGATTGAACACACACTGTGAAGTTGAATTATATACAGTGAGGAAACCACAGCCTTCATATTCATATTATTCATATTATAGGTAATAATTTCACAAGATTAAAGGCAAACGAAGTCCGATATCACACTCTCACTTAGCAATTTTAATTTTTTTAAGCATCCTGTTAGGACAGGTATTAACTTTATATCAAGGCTCAAAACTGCTTTGTGAATAAAATTGAAGCAATCATTTTTGGAATGCTGAAAAGATGTAAATGTAGACCATGTATATTTGTGGAAAGGGCTAGTCATAGCAATTACCTAAGTGCAGGATTAAGGGAGAAGAAATGACCATAAACAGAAGTACCAAGAAACTACAGAAATATTTTCAACTACATCCATTTTTATTGCAAAACATTTGTTACAAGAATTTCAAAAGTTCTACTGTAGCAACTGTCAAGTTCTTCTTTTTATAATATATCTAATATACAGCCTAAAAGTGCATTGTGAATCCAGTAGAACTTTAAAAGGACAATTCTTCTAGATATTTATTTTCCTTTTAAATATTTTTTTTTCTAGGAAATGATTTGAAATTACATTTTAATTGTTTTTATTTATATGAGTGTAATAGAACTGAAAATAAAAATCCTGCTAATACATCAACTTTAACTTTTAGGGTCAATTGTAAAAACCCTTTCAGTTAGCAGAAAAACGTGCTTCATTTTAGATAGTTGTAGAGGTCAAAGACATATATCCCTTTATTACCTCATAATAATTTTCTCTCACACACACACTCTTTTACTCTATTATTGTTTACATTTAAAATAAAATAAAATAAAATGTATTCATTTTGCAACTAGTTCCCATCTCTCGTACAAATATGTAGGTTGTAATCTAGGCATGTTTACTTGGCAGTGAGTATCACTGAGCGCCATAGTATAGATGTACTATTTACTCTCATCTGTACAGTGAGTACAGATAGTGCTCGACTTACAACAGTTCATTTAGTGACCATTTGAGGTTCCAACAGCACTGAAAAAAATGACATGACTGTTTTTCACACCTACAAACCTTGCAGTATACTCAGGGTCATGTGATCAAAATTCAGTCATACCTATGATGGTTGCGGTGTCCCTGAGTCATGTGATCACTTTTTGTAACCTTCTGACAAGCAAAGTCAATAGGGAAGCCAGATTCACTTAACAACCGGGTTACTAACTTAACAACTGCAGTGATTCACTGAACAACTGTGGCAGGAAAGATTGTAAAATGGGGCAAAACTCACTTAAATGACTCACTTAGCAACAGAAACTTTTAGCTCATTTTTGGTCGTAAGTCAAAGACTACCCGTAGAAATATGTGGGAGATCTACTGGTAAAAGAATAAGAATTTTTTCCAATCTGATACCCAGGGTAATAATAGATTAATTTAATAGATTAATTTAATTAACAATTTAACAGAAAACTAATAGCTCTTGGATATCTAGGTCCAGGATAGTCAAATGTAACAGATAAGTGTTTCTCAATCTTAGTAAGTTTAAGATGTGTGGAACTGAACTCCCAGAATTCCCCAGTCAACACTCTGGGGAATTCTGGGAGTCCAACACCAACATCTTAAAGTTGCTGTGGTTGAGAAATACTATAATAGATTATCTCATTTGTTACCTGTGCTAATTTGCAGTGGAGTCTATGCCTATTCTCTGAGAAATCCTGAGTGGAATTTTCAACCATGTAAGTACAGTATTGATTGAAATCTCAAATTGCCTAGTTATTAGCCATAATTTAAAAGGGAGGTCAAAGCCAGAAGGAATTTGTAGATCTACTGAGATCCATCTACATGACTATCCATGGACCTGTAGATCAGGGCATTAAAGACAATGACCTTCTTCAGGTTCACCTCTTAAAGATAACTTCTCTACTTAGAGAAATGATGGGCAGCTTCTCTAAGTGGGCATCCTTCTTTATGGTTTGGACTGGAAGCAATTAAAGTAAGGAACAAGGATCTAAGGATCCTTGTTAGAAAGAAGGCTAAGGGTCTAACAAGCTCCTGCAAGTTCCCTACAGGTTGAAATATCTGTAAGTGTGCAATTTATGGAAGCAACAGTCTTCTCTTTTTTTCTATGCAGAGGGTTGGAAGTGTCCCCTTTTTTTGTGAAAGCATGGCAGTCTGCATCTTTGTTTTCATAATATCATGAAAAGTAACTCTCACGTGGGACAGAGATTGATTTTCAGAATGCTAATAAGATAAAACAATGTCACATACCAGGACTCAAACACATTACGTATTTTAGAAACAAATCATTTGGTATAGTAATTCCTAAGGCAGAGGTCTGTGACGGGATAAGTTAATACTCGCCTACACAACATATTGTCTTGTGCATGCCCCACCTGAAATGTAGGATGTGGATTGTTAGGGAAAAAAATATTATAAATAGGTATGAACTTGAGTTTGAAACTTTGCATTATTTCTTGGAGTAGCCTAATAGGCTGTAATGTTTTGGAGCTTTCTGTCCTTTCAATTAAAATTAAAATCTAGTTCAGAGTAGAGTAGATTAAGTAACCATAGGAAAATATGTAACTCTTTCTAGAATGGGAATGTCTGTGCAAATACTCTGTTCTTTACATTTGTTTTTAAATATCAGGTGAACTGCAGATGTGCGCCTTCTTATTCTCATACAGTTCCTAATATCTTCACTGTTAAAATCCCAGAACACATCTAAAATGTTCTTATTTTCATATTTGAAATTTAACACTTGACAATATGCAACAAAACTATTTTTAACAATTTGGGTTAATTCCTAATAAAAGTTTTATCCATTTTTCCTTCTGTCCCACTACTAAACTACTAATATTTAAAGAGAAGTTCTGGATTTTATTTTCAGTCCAACTTCTGCAAAATGTTTCCGTCCCCTGACATTTAATGAGGCCTCCTTAAAGCAGCTGATTTGAAGATTCCCTTGACATTATTTTAAACATTTCATTGGCAAAACTCTCTATGCAAACCCCTTTTCCTGCAATCTTATTCAAAGTTGTTTTTCTCTATGGAGCATATATTTTAGGACTGGCCAGTAAAGCTCTGAGCAATACAGTTCTCATTTGGCAACATAAGTGCTGTCTTACAAAGTGGCACCTATTTCATTTCTACACTTATCAAGATTGCATAATCAAAAATATTCATTTGCCTCTTGTCCTGCAGCCATCGTGTGTCCTACGCCACCTTAAACCCTGAGAAAGAACCTATTTTATATGCAAACATTTATCTTCCTCAAAACTTAAAAGTTATATATGAAAGATTCATATGAGTGATTTTGCATTATGGATTTATGGGTTTTATTTTATTACTGGTAATTGTTACAATTTCAATAATTTACTGCTTGTTGCTACTTGATAACAGGCATATGCTAAAACAAACAATGAAGTACCTTGTCTCCAAAATATATAATTATTTTAATCATAAATGCTGTAGGTTTAAGACCCTACTGTTCTATAAGTCATTTTATATAATACTAAAGTGCTATTAAAATCAGTTTCATTAAAATGAATATATTGGGAGAGAATGTAAAAGTCCAAAATTGTTATTTCATCCTAACTTGATTCATTGTTACAGGCAGGCAATATTGAAATGTTGAACCCCATAACAGTCCAAAATAATTAGTGAAACAATGCATGCATTTTCATAGGCACAAAATAAGACTGTAATTTAAGGAAGAAGAAATTATTTCAATCATTATCACATTAGTATTGTGAAAAAATTATGTGCTATAATTCACTAGCTAGGACAGGTGATATATCCAACTATAGAACAGCATCACTTGAACTGGAAATAACAGAATGGATTACTACGGTATAAGAAAGTATTTCAAAAATACTGTACACTGCTTCCTCAATTGCACAGCATATGTAAACAAACAGCTAACTCAACAGAGTTTTAAATATTACTTTGAAGAGGTTATTCTTTTTACCTTTTGCATAACTTTCTAGGTTTATTCTTTCACATTATCATAACACACCTATCATAGCTATTGGTGGCTCATTAAGGATATATGCCAGCTCAAAGACTAGCCTTCTCTAGCCTTTTGACACTTTTCAGATGTTTTGGGATTCTAACTGCCAAGAATCCCAGTCAGAAGTCCCAACACATTTGCAAGATCCAGGCTAGGAAAAACTATGCCAGAATTGATAGTGGAGTTCTGCCAATAAATAAATAAATAAAAATGGAAATCTAACAGCAATGACAACAGACTCTGATTCCTTGCCCAATAACTGTTAATTCATTGGAAAGGTAGGTAGCCAACCATATTGTTCAGTGGACTTTATTTCCTGTTGTTGAACATTGTACTGCATGTGCTATATAAAGATATGACTTTATACTGCAGTGATAAACAGCCTTTGACTTGAGGACCTCATAATCTGGTAATTTATTTATTTTTTTGTGTACACGATTGTTACAAACCGACAGCAGAGTTTCAGGTAGGAAACACATGAAAACTCTTGTGCAAGGCCTAAATTAAGTACAACACAATGAAAAACATTTTTAAAAGAAAATGAAGGGAAATCCCAAAATGCCACTTCCTAAATCCAGATCTGGCCCTGTATATGTTGTGGCTTTGAAAGCCACCTGTCTAATGTTAAGAATGGCATTTGACTTGCTAAAGGTTGTCTTCCCTGATTACAGTGTTAAATCCAAAAGTTTATCTAATACAATTACATTACAATAACCCATTATGTAAAAAACAACACTGGACTGTTTTGTAGTATCTCTTGTTCAATTTGTAAATGTAGCCCTCTTGTTATTCTGAATGCTTTCATTAGCATTTATTCAGATATTATTATGATGGTATAAAAATAAATACACTAAGTTGAATTGAATTCATCTTGAAATTTTGTTTTTTCTATTCAATGGCTATGCAGATTAGTAATTTTATATTTTATACATAACATTTCAGATTATAAATTAAAACATTGTGTGGTTTCTTGCTTCTACTTTAGGGGCTAATACAGCATTCTATACAGGATTCTAAAAACAGATATTCAGAGCACACATTCTGAAACACAGGAAGTATTCAAGTGAGTATCAAAAGAACCATCAGGGTTTTAGAGAAAATGGGATCATTCACATCCCGTTTCACTATTCAATGTAGTGTATTTATCTTGATATAAGTACAATCTTTTTTAAAAATGAAAATAAGGGTATATCTGTTTTCATGCTCTATTTTTAGCAGGAAAATCCTCATTTGCTTACTTATTCTTGAGTTAGCAGCATCAACTATGCAGAAATGATCATCTTATTGTTCGATTATTGCTGTTTGATAGCTTATGAAAATATTTCCAATTTTGCCTGTCAAAAGTGCAACTTCTAGCTTAATAATGCTGTATTCTAAGCTCCGTACAACATCTCAATTTATGAATATCTTAACAGAAAACATATTCTCAACTATTAATTGATCCTGTTTATACTTTTTCAATAAAGAAGACAGGAGATCAAATGACATAATATCCACGATCAGTCCTGGTGATTAAAGTGGAATGCTAAAGCGTGCTTTATAAATTATACAATGTTGTCATGTGTATAAGCTGTAAGTTCAATGGGACATGATTTTAAAACAGGTATAATTTCTAAGAATTATTCTTTGTAATTCCAATGATTTTGTGGATTCCTACCTTCTTGTTCCTGTGTGCAAGGAATATTTTAATAGTAACTTTTAAAAAATGTTGTTCTAAACAATGTTTCTTTTTCTGTGACTTTAACAGCAGATCACATGTGGTAATTTATGAAAAATGCACATTCAAATACACTTTTCTTAACAAAAGCCACAATATAGGCCTTTGCATTTGTTTACAGTTTGCAGTTATTTCAAAATAGGTTCCATTCCCAGGAAGCATGTAGAAGTGAATCTTAAGATTGTGCTTTTGCAGAAACGGCTATTTTTTGCATTAAAAAGTATAAATGCTGGCATTCCTGCCAGAATTTGGCTTTTCTCACACTAGGAATAGGGATATCAGGAGTCCTATTTGTCAATTTGTTCTGAAGCTAGGGCCCAAATATTATTACCTAGGTATGCTTAATGTAAATCAGAATATTGTCATTGAAGACAAACAGGAAAATTCAAAGGATGATTTGAATTGTTTTTATGAATTCATTTAGGAGTTCTTTTACACAATCAGCTCAAATGAAATTGAATAATTCAGTAGTTTAAAAGAATAACAGTGATCTAGTCTGGGCTTATGTCTGAAGAAGAAATGAGCAAAAATGGCAATACATTTTGACTTATTTAAAATAGGCCTATTTCATCTGAAGTCATTGAAATATTGTTTGAATGAATTATCTTTATATACCCTACTCAAAACTATATTAGATTATTTCCTATCTCACAAAATCTGGAATGATTGTGATAGTATGAAAAAAAGGCATTAGTAGTGGATTAAAAAAAACAACCCTGCTTAGATACCATTTTGTGCATGGAAAATCTGGCTTCGGTAGAGACATCTGAAATCGCTTATGAGACAAGAGACATGTTTGAAAAAGAATGGCTAATGACTAAAACATCTACTTCCACACCATATTTCTTTGTTGTAAAAAAGTTTTTTTTAACACACACACACACACATACACACACACACACACACACACATCAAAGCTCTAATAAAAGTGTGCATTGTGCAGTTATTTACAACACTGAATTAAAGTTGGGTCTTAGAAGCAGTTTAGGAAATAAACCTAATAATCAGTGTATTCTGCTTGCCATGTATCCAGATATGTTGGATATATCCAGGCATATATCTTGATCTTTGATAAATTATTTTCATGGAAAAGCACATATTAAAAACATCTTGGCAAACTATAGAATAATAGCTGAGATAATAAGGAAGATAAAGAGTAGCATGCAGGTCAACTGAGTGGGGCAATTTGCATTACATTTTATAACTGAAATCAATGCACAGCTGTGTTCAAAAAGATCTATGGCTGTGTCTTGTTCCCAGCTACTATTAGATGAATTGGGACCTTGGAAACTTTCAGAGTTCTCTGTTTATTCTGGTGCCTTCCAAAGTTCTAGAGAACATCCACAATCCTGGATCCTTGCCAAGCTTTGTGGGGTTAATAGGAGCCTTAACTCAAAACAATGGAGAGTATTCTTGCTCTATGGTGCTTTGGAAGACTACTTACTTACATAGATTTAGTCTGAATGCTTAAACTTGGAAAAAGGAATTTAAATAGCCAACTCAAAATAATTCTTAAAATTATGTGAGTGATACATAAATTGAATCTTTATAACTATGCCATCTGCTATTATCCTCTAGGACAGGGGTAGGCAACCTTGGCTCTTTTATGACTCATGGACTTCAATTCCCAGAATTCCTGATCCAGCATGGCTCAGCTTGGAAACCTCTCCCTTTTCCCTCAGCATAGCTGGATCAGGAATTCTGGGAGTTGAAGTCCACAAGTCATAAAAGAGCTATACTTAATTCTTGCACCCAGAAGGGTTATTGCAAACATTATTGAGAAGTAGACCTGAGGACAATGAGGCTTTCACATTCCATTCTTACATGGTATAAAATCTCTTCTCTTTGCCATTCTAGACAATGGAAGCATACTTAAAGGAATGGCTTTTGAAACAGTCTTAATTTCATTTAGGCTAACTAACCAGTCAGTCCTTTAATACTGTAAGAGAAGATCATCATTCAATATCTCCAGCAATAAATGGTGGAACAGCTAGAAGAGCAATGCAGTGATTAAAAGAAATGCAAATATGCCCAATGAAATCCAAATACTTGAAAAAAAAAAGATAGAAATATTGTATAGAACAGTAAGAATATGGATGTTGCCTCTGGACTGTTTTCATCCTCTTGTGTAACATTTTAAGGAGGCTCCATAAAATTCTTTCTAAACTAATAGATGTAATTACAAAAATAAGTATTTACTATTCCACTTAATTACAATCTTCCTGAGCTTGGTCAGCTGTGTGAAAAAGCCTGTTTAATACAGGAACCACATGGTAATATATTACATAAATTTTCCCCTTTCCCTCATGCTGCTATATAAAAGGCATCTTTTTTACTTCCCTTCTTGAAAATATATTTGTGGCACTACAAGTTGTCAGTACAAAAAAAGACATGTGAACCATGAAAGTGAAAAATGGGAATTGGTAGGTTTGTCTTCTATAGTGTAATTTCAGAGATACTGCTTCATAGGTTATCGCAAATGTACTGATGTAAACAACAACAGAATCATAATTAAAACACGACTTTAGATGCATGTTATTTTGCTTCTTTTTTTTAAAAAAAATCTATTTCTATTTTGAAAGGCAGATTTCTCAAACTATTTACCCATTTATGCACGATGTCATAAAGCTTTTTTAAAAAATAATGTCTTTAAAATCTTCCCTCGCACCCATCCCACCCCCTATTAAGTGCAAATGCCAACTGGATCAAGAGGCAGAATCTCGGTGCCTGACACTGAGATTAAAAAGGGCTAATTTGACTGGTGGTAGAAGCCAGCTGTTTGCTGACACATCGTAATCTGAGGTTACTCCATTCTGCTCAAGAAGAGGGCCACGGAGCAGACATCATCTCTAGCAATATTTGCTCTCAAAGCTCCGGAATGCACCTGTTCTAGAGAGTCTTCTCATTGACATGGTGTCTCCTGTACTTTCTGGTTTGGATGACTTGCTCCTCTGAAATGTATTTCGAAGGCTGGCTGCATTGCGCTGCCTATCAAGTTTGTCACTGATGGAATAGCTTTTCCGTGTGTGCACATAGAGTAAGTTGGATTCATCCGCAGAATAACTATTGGCCCGCTCTATTTTAGGAAGCAGAATATTGTTAGACAAGGTCCTAGATGTATTGCTATCTTGAGGTGACAAGGACACTGCTTTTTTATCTTTGGCTTCAGCATCCTCGTTGTCAGAACTTGGGTGACTTAGTTCTGCTTCCCTTTCTGGGTGGCAGCATCCCAGGTCATCCACCTTATCTCCATGGGTTCCAGGAAAACTTGACCTTTCTGCAATGGTTTGAGGAGCACTGACACACCTTGTATCAATGCAGTCGGTAATGCTAGTGTACTCTGCTGTTTTGACTGGTACTCCAAGGCTGCTGAAATAGCTCCGGGAAGGAGAAAACATAAAACTATGAGATTTTACTATAGGTGCCTCTTCTAAAGTAAAGGGGCTTGTAGCGAGGTATCGGCTACTTTTAGAACGCTCTAAGGTATGACATAAGGGGGGATCCAATTCCCAGGGGTTTTGGCTGTCTGTGATTTGCGAATAATCTGAAGAAAATACCCTTGTTTCCAGTGAAGAAGGTTCTTCATACTCAATACTTCTGCCTGAGATTCTTTCACCAGAAGTACCACTGACGTAAGCACTACTCGAGAGAATGCTGGGAGTTATCTGAGTTTGAAGGGTGGGGTCTCCGGTTCCAAGGATGTTCATTGAACTGTCCAGGGGCTCTATTCCTGACTGCAGCTCATCCATGGCAGACACATAAATATCAATGCAAGAGGAAGGCCTCCGAGAATCTGGAGCAATAGACAAAGTGCTGACAGGCACTAAAGAAACTTTCGGTTCTTTTGAGACTGAGTGAGAGCTAGTGGCACGATGAAGGCTCAGAGACCGTTCTTTCAAAATACTTTCGAATTTTTCAAGCCCACCCTTCTCTTTTATATTCATCGCATAGAAGGAGTGACTTCGCAGTCGAGGTGTTAATGTTGGAGAGGTGGGGGACATCGATTCTTCCCCCGTAGGGTCAATACTCTCTTGAAGTTTGTATGCGTTCCCTTCCTGGCTGTTGAAGCTACTTTGCCTCACAATATAAGCTGTGTCAGTGCAGTCAGAAGATGTTCGAGACCGTATCTTACTGGCCTCTCCTCTGTCTACACCAGTAATTTTGTCCAGTGCTGTGGCCATTCGCCCAATCATATCTTCAAGCTGAGCAAGTCGTATATCTACAGTCTGAAGTGAGGCCTTCATGCAATGCTCTCGTTCATTGACTTCCTCTAATCGCATTGCCATATTCTCTACTCTGCAGGAAGAAAAGAGAGAAAAAAAAATGTTTTGCTAATATCCAATAGGGCAAGCAGTTTAGCTTGGTTATTTCTAAACCAATTTACTTAATCAGGAAAATTGATGATAATATAAATAGTATGCCATTAATATACTGATACACAGACTAAGAAAATTAATCCTCTTTTTTTAAAAAAATTAACAATTAAAAATAGGTTACTGGGTAACCGGAATGATAAATCCATTTAATGCTTGCCCCTCAATGATTTTATCAATACATATTTAAAGAAGAATTTGCTTTTTGCTTCTGATTAAAGTTGTCAGATGCATCGATGTCCTTTTTTTAAAAATAAAAATTATGTATCTTAAAATATAGACTTTTATACTGTTCTATACAAATGTAAAATATAACATGTGATTAATTAATGCAACACATTGTAATTTATAGACTTCAGATTTGTAAACATGAGATTTACAGATCTATTGTATGTTATGCAGGCTCACATACACAAAGACAAAATACTGATTTCTGGTATAGAAATATTCCCATTTTATGGGTTTTATGTGGCAAACTCCTTAGTAATTACCAAATAAATAGATAGTAGTAACTGATTTATCAAACTGCTAAAATTGCACAGCTATACAGATTTTGAAAGCTGCCAGAAAATTGGAAAAGTACCTAACTCTTGTCAAATGAATATGATGGCAACAAGTGATACCTGTCCAAATAAATTTAGAGTGTAATCTAAACCAGGCATTTTTCTTGGAAATATGCTTAATTTTTGTGAGTATTTTTTTGTATAATACCACTTTTATGACAATTCCAAAATAGGTTTACCATTTTTTGATTACTACTAGTTTGTAGCTAATAAAATAATATGGAACTTTTAAAAGCTTTTTTATTTTAAAACAACAAAATGAAAAATTCTGTTTACAATTTTCAAACGTACAAAACCAAACAAAATGTTGTGCACCTTTCAGAAGTTACACGGATTCTCTCATCATTGGAAGAATTAAATCTATCATCTTTCTCTCTGAAATACTCTTCTATGCATTGTTCTTCAAAATCATGAACCTTCTTCAGTTCATCATCGGTTATAAAAAGTTCTATAGGAGACATACATGGCAATAAACAGCAGTCAATAACTAAATCCCCCTCCATAAGTAACTTCATATATAGATCATTTTGATGAGTCTCAGATTTGTAGCTCTACTTCTGCTTTCCCAAATTTGTGCCCTAACTCCCACCTACCAGACAATTTTTCAATTTGTCAGACTTATTCAGGTAACGCAAACTGTGATACTTGACTCCATCATGTTTCCTTCTTTTGACCCTCTACAATCTCAGTCAGGGTACTAAAAGAGATAGGAGAATGTCTATATTGTCCCATCACTAAGGATATTGGGAGCAGTATGTCTCTGTAAGTACTGGCAGGACTTCAGATTGATAGTTATTAGACAAGCAAAGATGACTGTAAGTTGAGTTATTGTATTCATTGTTGTTCATATCTTTGTAGAGCCTAATTTGTATAATGTTTTCCCACTATAAGAATTAGATCTGTATGTTTGGATTAGTTGAATTTATCCCAACTTCTGTGAGATAAGATAGGATGAGAGAGAATAACTGGTCCAAGCTCACCCAATATCAGCCCTACAAGGTAGAGCATAGTAAAAAACCAATGTCATGTGAGTTAGAACTTAGAACTACCTTCATTGTAAAAGCTATACTAACAAAATCTTGTAAGTCTGAATGTGTTCCCTCTCTTACTTTTGTGCTTTTTGTCTGAGACATTATGCTCAAGTTAGTTTATTGGTCTAGGCTCAAGGCCCACTTATCTGACTGAAGTTTTGGTACCAACTCATTCTTTTGTCTGTTAAAACCATTCCCTATTCCCTCTATACCCACGAAACTTCCACAGCTGAGGGTGGACCTAACCTGGATTTACCTAATATCTAGACCAGTTTGTTAACCACTGTACCAGTGTTGGTATTTATGAGATGAAACAATAATGTATAGTGAAGTAAAAAATAGTAAAGAAAAGAAATAAAGAGATAAATCTGAAAATGCAATGTCTGGAATTTTTTTAAAACAACATTTTTATCACATTAGAAAACGTGTGAAAATAGAAATGATTTTGCATAATGACAAAAAACAGGAAACAAAAACAAAACAAAACCTGAAGGTAGGCCAAACTAGAAAACTAAGAAATTTCAAAATTTGAGCATGAGCCTAAAGAAAATAATCCCTTTAATAATACCTAGAGACCAGTTAGGTGCCAAGGAATTATTATAATTCATTCTATGTGTAGCTGCCTTAAAAAAAAAAAGGAAATTTTATTTGGACTGGGAATTGCAACCTGTTTTACTCTGACTTTAGTCATCTATGCACATGGTTTATATACATAAGATACATATGATATGAACTTCAGTTCCAGTCTTCTTCAATGAAAAAGACCACAAAGCTGATAATAGGTGAATTAGGTCTTGATACATATTTTGTCTATCAAACTCTGAAAATAAATAGGTAGTCCTTGACTTACAGCCACAATTGAGCCCAAAATTTATGTTACTAAGTGAGAAATTTGCTAGGTGAGTTTTACCCCATTTTACGATTTTTCTTGCCACATTTGTTAAGTGAATCACTTCAGTTGTTAAATTAGTAAAACGCTTGTTAAGTGAATCTGGTTTCCCCATTGACTTTGCTTGTCAGAAGGTTACAAAAGGTGATCACATGACCCTGGGAATGTAAATCACATGACCACGGGGATGCGGCAACGATCATAAGCGTGAAAAATGGTCATACATCACTTTTTTCAGTGCCGTTGTAACTTCAAATGGTCACTAAACGAACAACTGTAAGTCGAGTGCTACCTGTATAATCAAAAGGGATGAAACCTTTTGAGGTAAACTGAAGTGAGGGAATGTAATTTGAGAGATTTGTACAGCAATATTAAGTAAAGTTGAAACAACTGTTTTAAGAAATAACTGATGAAAAGGAAATCACAAATGCTGTGAAAAATGATAGCACTGCATACATATAACAGAAATGTTAAAATATGGAGCTATGCAGTGTAAATGTGTACTGTATGTGCAAAAAGAGCTTCTGTGCCTCCTATTTGATATGCTTTTATTCTCATGTACATAGGGAAATGTAGCAAAAGTGAATGCGTAAATAATTTAAGAATTAATGTGTTAAGGATACTTGAAAAAGTCACAGAATCTGATTGAGAGGATATAAGGAGGCAATGAACAAAATTGGGTTAGTGCAGCGTAGTTTTATATTGGTCAAGAGGTGTCAGAACAGACACAGAACTTTTTAACAAACCATTAAGAACGCTGAAAATGTGAGAAGTTTATTGTATGTTTGTTCATATAGAAAGCTTATGATAAACTAAATAGGCCCAATCCAAGACAAAACAAGTGTAGATGATGCTCCTTACATTGTTTAATGTATTTATGGATAAATATAGCAGGAAAGGTGGTAGTGACGTTGGCTGGGGACATGAGTTTTTGTGTACTTTCAATGCAGGTGAAGCTATATTGTCAAGAATCCAAACAATTTGGTCACATAGAGAGAATGAATAAATTGCAGAATGATGATATAAAAGAAAAAGAAAACTATTGAGAAGAAGAAAACTGAGGAGAATGAAAGGAATTGATTATTCCTCAAAAGGACAAAAGGTGAGAATTTTAAATAACAAAAGACAATGCAGTAATTTATAAATGGATGCTGCAACCATAGTTTTCAATGATATAAAGATATGGAAAAGTATAGTGAACAATGGTGGAAACGAGATTTAATTAAGTTCCCTTTTTCCTCTTATCTCTTGCTTTTAGTTCTTCTGCTTACTATGCCTTAATCTTTTTCTGTCCTTTGCAGAATGTTGCTTACCTTCAAAGGCAAATTGTATGATGTATGTATGTATGCAGTTTCCTATGGATTTGCTTTCAGCCTTAGATTTCCAAAACTCACTTTGCAGGCTATGACTAAGGAATGGTTCCAAATATACAGTATCCCACAGGCTGTACTACAAAACCATACAGATAACTCCTGGTTGTGTATTCTTTAGCTGAAATTGTTGTTTGCTCATGGTGGTTGTGTATCTAAGTAAAACCTGTGATTCTGCACAAAGCCTATGACACTTACTGAGCCCATAATCTGCTTCATCTGGATCGCTGTCGTGTTTCCGCCATCTACAGCATATGTGTTGAAATATCATGGTCATGTGACTGAAGATGATTAGCGGAGGGGGTAAGACTGGTTTTTCATGGAAAGTCATAATAAGCTGATATCTCTGAAACTTCCATACCTGGTTTGATATAGACTTAACTTCAAAAAACGTGTTGCTGAAATAGGAATAGAAAAAGGAATAGGCTTTTGACAAACTGCTGAATTCTGTTTGCAACAGATGCAACATCGGGACCTGTTCTACACATTGAAAAAATAACACATTTTAGACTGTATGTACAATTAGCATCTGCGGTCAATTCCAGCACTCATTTGGATGGACTATTCGTAACAGTATCTGTTGTGTTTACATTGCTATACTGTTTATTTTACTCATATACAACATTTTTTATTTCTGCATAAAAATATTACCTCTAAAAGGAATAGCTATCTCTACCTCTAAAAGAAGTATCTACCTCTAAAAAAAATATCTATTCACATGGGTATTTGAATGTAACAGCTATAGAACCAATTTCCAAGATGTTCCTTTGATTAACACCGGCCATCGTCTTAGGTCATCTCAGTAGCACGGATGCAACACCACCACAACCTCCATTCTTTCCCACTTCACTAAGACAGCCAGAGGATCTCAAGTGCAAGCAAAAGCCCTGAAATGCTGAGTTAAATTTGGACTTGGGGAAAAGATTGTGAGGTGACTATTTGACGGCATCCAGAAGAAGGCTGTGTCTCAATAGTGAGATAGATAACTGGAGAATACAATTCAGTATTTTAACCTAACCTCATGTCTTGGTCAAATGCACTAGGTGTTCTTTTGCAAGCTTACTGTATGGAAACTCTTGGCAGTGCTGGTGGGCCCTGCTTGTTCTGGCAATTACCAAACTATTTTGGATGCTAATACTGACCCTCCACCTCTGCCACAAAATTTGTATCAGCCTGTAAGGTTTATCTTTAATTAAACAGCAGATAGGGAGCTACATCTTTGTCAGGGCATACATAGTGCCTATAGAAATAGCCACACAATCACAGGAAAAGTAGTCCTCGGTTAATGACTACTTGTTCAGTGACTAGCTATTCAAAGTTACGATGGTGCTGAATGAATTGTGTTTGATTGGTCTTCCAAGTTCTGTCCATCGCAGCACCCCAGTGATTGCCTGTATTTCAAAACCTTAGAGGTCTTTGGACATATACCCTCTGCAAAAGATACCCATGATTATGTACTCTAAAACTCTACCACAGAATACTTACATTTTTTTGCTATTGCAAGTAACTTCTGTTGGCAAATGCTTTAAACCACTCTGATGACAAATATTAAAAAGTTTGGCATGGATGCTATGGCTGGTGGAGAAATATATAATATTTTATCAACTCACTTAAAAACTGCAATCAGTAAGTTCACCAGAAGGATGTTTGCAACCAAGAGATAGCAAGCCATTATGGCAGGAACGATCCAGGCTCCTGTTTTGCAGGGAGGAAGCTGAATTATTTTACCATCTTCTCTAGTTTCATTTTGACCACAAGGAGCTGAGGAAAAACAGGTGAGAGGAGGTGAAAGAAAATAAATTTTAAGAAGAAACGATGGCAGAATACACTATATTTCAAAATCTCAGAAATTTCTGGACGTCTACCCTCTGCAAAAGATACCCATGATCATGTACTGTAAAACTCTGTCACGGAATACTTACATTTTTTTTGCCATTGCAAACAATCTGTTGGTAGATGCTTTACACTAGTCTGATGACAAATATTAAAAAAGTTTGGCATGTCTGTCAATTTCTAGGTATTTACTATGTGCTCTGAAATTTCACTCTTTTAAATGTGCTAGGAACTGATGAAAACATCTGTGTGAAATGTTATTTATACATCCATTTGCTTTTTGGTAACTAGGATATATCGGTAGTATCAAACGAGAGTACATTAAAAAAAGGAACATTTGATATAATATATATGAGTAATATATGTAGAATGACAATAGGATTTTTGTTATTAACAGCATTCTAGAACCAAGTGTGGGTAGGTAGGTAATATTTATAGGCAAAAGAGCAGACATTTTACTTTATTTTACCAGCTATTTGAAAAGAACAGATGGCAAAATGGCATAGTTTTAAATGCTGATATAGTTTAGAAAATATTAACTAACTGAATCTTTAATTTGGGATGACTTTAGCTATTTTAGTTCATCCAAACAGCAACTACATTTCCTCACCAATACTGTATTGCTACTTTTAGGAAGTATCACTGGTGCAAGGAATGCTATTCCTTTCCTACTCCTGGTTGTTTTCTCACACATTCCCAGTATAACAGTGAATAAGGAGAATTTGTACAAAAAAGGAAACATCCAGTAAATTAAGCTGTTGAAGAAGTGAAAGAATGTTAACAGGTGCAGCCTTATTTCATATCCCAGAATGCATGAGAAAAATGTTGCCTCACAAAACAAGTTTTTCCTCAAAATTAATACAGATACTGAAGTTCAGATTGCTTTTCATCCTAGATGGGCAAATCTGCCTGATGCAAATAGAAGAAAGGGAGAAGACCACTGGCCTCTGGCTAACAATAGAGATTTCAAACAATGGAATTGTTCTGATAGGTGAAATTTCTGAGTGAGGCATTGGTGAATTAAGACATCACTGGAGAAGTGGAAATGATGCATTGGCAAAGGACAAAGAACTAGTGATGAGCCTTGTGTAACAGAATCTCTTCAGGTAAGGAGAGGATGAGAGTTTGCCCAGTTGTGCTCCACATGGCTATTCCTTTTGAGGGGATCCTGAGAAAGCAGTCAACACAGGGTCTGAGCACTGGGAAATGAGGAAAGCTATCAAGCTCTCACCCAGGTGAAGCCTTTAAGGACACTAGATTGGTCTACCTTACTTTTCAACATGGGGATTCAACAACTTTCCTTTCTAAACATGTTTTCAAAGTTAAAGGAGAACTTCTAAGCAAAAAGTTTAAAAAACTATTTTGTGATGATACAAGATATTTGCAGTTCAATGTTGAGCTGAGCTTAACTGAACTGAACAGAGAACACCAAGGACCCCACATTGCCTAATGAATAAAACTTCTTCCTCCAAAAGAAGAAAAATTAATTAACAATTTAAAGAACTTTACAAAAAAATAAAGGGCAAAAAGATAAATAATGTAACTCAAGAAAGTTTTAAATAGATTAAGGGACCAGAAGAATTTGGAATATTGGAACTTTTGCTAAAATTTTTGAAATAATAAGATAAATAAAATGATACGTTTAATAGAACCTAAATTGTTTAGTTTACCAGGGAAGAGATGATTGCTGAGATTGTATACTTTTTTCTATGTTACTTTATATTAATTTTGTTACAATCCTTAATATAAGGTATTTTTTTTTAAAAAATGAATTGTTCTTATAGGTGTAGGGGTAAAGGGAAGCAAAGTTCAAATAGCTGCATAGTTTTCATCAGAATATTGAAAATCAGCTTTGTATCGTGATATTTGTTCATGACTCCTGGTTTTGAAAAGTCAATAAAAGATTATTTACTTATTTAGTGTCAGATAATTTCTCTCCCCCCCATCCTTTGTCTTTTTGTGCCATGTTAATTAGATTGTTTCTGTGGTAATAAATGACTTCCTAGAATGGGTGTCAGCAAAAGAATGAGGCGAATTGGCTGTGCCAACCGACAGTACATAATCAGGCTAGTTGTTTGACTTGGATCACAGATTATATTATAGCATTATATGGATGGATTATTTTTCTAGAACAGACATGTCAAACTCACGATGTCACATGACATCGTGTGTCGTATTGGAGCTTTTTCCCCATTGCTGGCAGTAGGGTGTGCACAGTTTCGTTGTGACACATCTGGCCCACAGTTTAACACTCCTGCTCTAGAAGGAGTAGGACTTTCAGAAGGGGCTACATTTAAATAGCTATGGAGCACACATATATTTAATAAGCAATTTGTTTTAATTTCAGCACTCATAAAATATATTTTATTAATGTGAGAAATGAATATCTTAAAACTGAATGAATATTAAATAATCTTTATGAGCAAATGCATGACAAACTACAACATGCAATCAGTGCCTAATTATGGATAAATTTATTTATAAAACATCTGTCTAAAAATTACATACTAGTAAATGAATTCTGTCCTGAAACAGGAATAGAAATATGCACTGTGCAACAAGACTGAATTATTTCCAAACATAAGCTGAATTTGTTGGACTCAGAAAAATTGGCGGAACAAATAAAGAGAGCAAAACAAAATTTCTTTGAAAATGCCAATAAGCCAGGAAGATGGCTAGCTTATAAGCTCAAAAAACAGAAAGAGAAGAAAAATAATACATAATTTAGTAGATGGGAAAGGTTGTTTACAATTTAAAAAGGAAGAAATAAAAAATATAATTAAGAAATATTATAAGGAATTGTATGGTAAAGAGAAGGCTGCAAGAGAGAGAATTGCTCAATATCTAGAAGAAAGTAAATTGCCAAAAATTCCAGAGATATTCAAAACTATGTTAGAAGAAAGAATAACAATGATGGAGATATTAGAGGCTATAAAACGACAAAAAAATGGAAAAACACCAGGCCTAGATGGGCTACCGGCGGAACTTTATAAAAATCTACAAGATACATTAAGCGAACCATTGAAAGATGTTTGTAATGGACTATTGTTAGAGGCCAAACTTCCAAATACATGGATAGAAGCAAATATTACTTTGATACCAAAAAAAGATTCAGACTTGACGTATATTAAGAACTATAGACCAATTTCATTACTCAATGTGGATTACAAAATTTTTACTTCAATAATGGCAGAGAGATTGAAAAAATACTTGGTTGAATTTATACATCCAGATCAAAACGGCTTTTTACCGAAGAGACAAATTAAAAACAATTTAAGGGTGATAATGGACGTATTAGAATATTATGAATTACATCCAGGGAAACAATTAGCATTAATGTTTTTAGACGCCCAAAAGGCGTTTGATAATGTTTCCTGGCAATTTATGGTTCAGCAATTACAAATAATGGATTTTGGAAAGAATTTTATAAATATGATAAAAACAATATATAGCAACCAGACAGCAAAAGTGATAGTGAATGGAGATTATACTGAGAGCTTTGAGATAAGAAAAGGTACAAGACAAGGGTGTCCACTATCTCCATTATTATTTATCTTTACTTTGGAAGTACTAAATAGAAGGATAAGACAGGACACAGAAATTAAAGGATTGAAAATAAAAGATAAAACATATAAGTTATAAGCATTTGCTGATGATTTAGTGTTTATCTTGGAAGAACCTTTAGAGATGATTCCTAAACTATGGGGAAAGATAGAAGAGTATGGAGAAATGGCAGGACTAAAAATAAATAAAGAAAAAACTAAAGTAATAGTAAAGAACCTCACAGATAAACAAAAAAGGCAAATGCTAGACAAAACAGAGGTACAAATAGTGAAAAAAGTTAAATATTTAGGTATTCATCTTTCGGCTAAGTGTTCGTCAATAAAAGAAGACAATTATACAAAATTATTGAAGCAAATAAAGCTAGACTGGAAAGATGGAAAAATCTGCAGCTGTCAATATTAGGAAGAATTGCTACAGTAAAAATGAATGTGTTGCCGAAGATTTTATTCCTATTTCAAACGATTCTGATAAAACGTGAGAGAAAATTCTTTCAAGATTTAAATTCATTGGTTTTGAACTTTATTTGGCAGGGGAAAAAAGCTAGAATTAAGATGAAAACATTACAAGATGCTAAGGAAAATGGAGGTTTTGGGTTGCCGGAATGGACATTGTATTACCAAGCATCTGTGTTAACATGGGTGAAAGAGTGGATAACACTTAAAAATAAAAGGTTATTGTATCTAGAGGGACATGATTTACAATTGGGGTGGTACGCTTTCTTATGGTATGGGAAAAACAGAGTCCATAAATACTTTCAAAATCATTTTATAAGAAATGCCTTGTCAACAGTATGGGAAAAAATTAAAGCTAAAATATATTTAAAAATTCCAGGGTGGTTATCAACGATGGAGGCATTTATACATCTGAACTTAGTAGACTTTGAAAAAATATGGGCATATAAAGATATTCTAGATATTGATGGGAAATTAAAATCAAACAAGAACTGGAAAATCAGGGAATTAACTTGTCCTGGTGGGCACATTTACAGATACAAAGTAGATATGAAAAAGATGTAAAAATGTATGGATTTTATAAGGATCAAACTGTGTTTGATGAGATTTTGTTAACCTCAGATGAGAAATTAATTAAGGAAATGTATAACTTTTTGTTAATTTTGGATAAGGAAAGTGAACAAGTGAAAGAAACAATGACAAGATGGGCAATTTTTTTGGGCTATAATATAGAATTAGAAAAATGGCAAATGTTATGGGAGAGAAACTACAAATTAACAATGTCAACTTCATACAAAGAAAATTTGTATAAAATGTTTTATAGAGGGCACCTGCCGCCAGCAAGATTAGCAAAAATGTTTAAAAATATGTCAGATAGATGTTGGAAATGTAAACATAACATAGGCACGTATT